TCCGCAAGCAGCGGCAGCGCTGCCGCAGCTTGCGGAGAGTTGCCGGCATGCCGAAGCCTGGGCGCGCTGAGATCAGCGCGCCCAGGCTTCGCGGCCCCGCCCCCGGCATCGGGCATGGTCCCGATGGCGGGCGGCGGGGGGAGGCGTTCCCGCCCGTCCACCGGCATCAGGGCATGGTCCCGATGGCGGGCGGGGGGGAGGCGTTCCCGTCCGCCGCCCGGCATCGGGGCATGGTCCGGGGCTTTTAAATTGCCCCGGAACAGCGGAGAAGTCCCCCGCTGTCCCGGGGCTTTTTAAAATGCTGGCGGGCGACAGCGGAGGCTTCGCTCCCCCGCCAGCATTTTAAGATCGCCCCGGACAGCGGAGAAGTCCCCCGCTGTCCCGGGGCTTTTTAAAATGCTGGCGGGCGACAGCGGAGGCTTCGCTCCCGCCGCCAGCATTTTAAGATCGCCCCGACAGCGGAGAAGTCCCCGCTGTCCCGGGGCTTTTTAAAATGCTGGCGGGCGACAGCGGAGGCTTCGCTCCCGCCCGCCAGCATTTTAAGATCGCCCCGACAGCGGAGAAGTTCCCCGCTGTCGGGCAGCCTCGCCCCCAGCATTTTAAGATCGCCCGACAGCGGAGAAGCCCCGCTGTCCCGGGGCTTTTTAAAATGCTGGCGGGCGACAGCGGAGGCTTCGCTCCCGCCCGCCAGCATTTTAAGATCGCCCCGACAGCGGAGAAGTCCCCGCTGTCCCGGGGCTTTTTAAAATGCTGGCGGGCGACAGCGGAGGCTTCGCTCCCGCCGCCAGCATTTTAAGATCGCCCCGACAGCGGAGAAGTCCCCCCTGTCCCGGGGCTTTTTAAAATGCTGGCGGGCGAGCGGAGGCTTCGCTCGCCCGCCAGCATTTTAAGATCGCCCCGACAGCGGAGAAGTCCCCGCTGTCCCGGGGCTTTTTAAAATGCTGGCGGGCGACAGCGGAGGCTTCGCTCCCGCCGCCAGCATTTTAAGATCGCCCCGACAGCGGAGAAGTCCCCGCTGTCCGGGGCTTTTTAAAATGCTGGCGGGGACAGCGGAGGCGCTTCCCCGCTGTCGGAGATTTCCTATGGGCTTTCGTCTTGCGAAGGAAGCCCATAGGGAACTTCGTCTTGCGAAGCGCCTCCCAAAACGGAAATACCCTTTCGTCTAGCGAGTTTCCGTCTTGCGAGGTCGTTCGTTTTGCGGGGTACCACTGTAGACACCAAACTGTTAATATTGCCTCATCTACCATCATGCACATTATTGTCAATAGCAGCTGTTTGCATGTCTAAGCGCAAGTTGTCAAGTGATGTGCATGTGTAAATCAGCCTTCAGGCAATACCAGATTGTTTGAAATGTGATGTCAGTGTGAGTGTAAAGTGGCTTACTCGTAATATTTAACTGAATCACAGCTCTGAGGTATCTGCTGTAACACAACAACTTTATAGAGGCATTTTAGCCAAGTTCAAAGAATTGAGGGACTCGACTCATGAGATCAAGAGGCTTTATATGGTTAATTTACTCAGGGCAGTAGACCCCAAGCCATTTGACAAGTTGCATTTGAAGCCAAACAGAGTTTTAAAAGCAGCTTAGTGACATGCCTGTTGCAGTGAGGGGGCACCCAGCTGTTCAAAAGGGGATGAGTCAATAATGCCACCAGGCTGAAACGAGCCTCTTGCGTGAACCTAAGTTGCCTTCTTACTCATTTGACATCAAGGGTGGTATTCAACACATGTGTAAGTATTACCACTAGTGCAATGGGTGCCTCCCCTTCTCCTCACCTTTGCACCATCCCCAAGTCTGTCACAGAGGGTTGGGGGGGACCAGAAGAAATTTAGCAGAAGAAACATGCATTTATGCAAGAAGAAATCCTTGCAGATGGAACCTGCAACTCTATGCCATGTTGAATATAGCCCTTTGCATTAACTTACAATTTGTTTCAACTATTGCTGTTCTCCACTTTTTTAGGTGATGGTGCCAATGATGTAAGTATGATTCAGGCAGCTAATGTTGGAATCGGTATTTCAGGACAAGAAGGGATGCAGGTATACATAAGAACTGAAGTGTATTCCTTTGTCTTTGGCAGCTACTGCTGGGCGCATTTGTCATCAGCGTTCAGAATTTATAGACGGGTGTATTCTGTGGTATAACATGAATGTAAGCTATCATTATGGCTATCTGATATAATATGCTAATAAACCAAGGTGAAATGTTCCTGTCTTCACAATTAATCAAAGCGCTTATGTGCTTGCCTTGAACTTCATATATCACTGTTCTTCATGCTAATGTCCAGGGCTAGAAACAGTTCCCTGCCTCGCTTGTTATCCCAATAATGCAGAGAAGTGATGCTGAGTCACTGGAAACCCAGAGGCAGGGTTGCGATTAAACCTCACCATGTCCGGCAGCCTCCACACAGGATTCCACTGCCTGTAGAAAACTGCTGAATTAATAGTAATCCTTGAGCACTTTCCCCAAGTGTCTAGTACTTCAGGCTATCTCATCCAAAATTGCTCCTATCCTCTTACTGGAATAGGATCATCTTCTATGTGATTACGTTCTTGTGACAGACTTGGAAAGGCAAGCGCTTGCAGTTTCATAACGAAACCATAGCCAGTTTTGAAATCAAGCCAAAACTTGAAACATTTTGCACTTCCTCCTAGTCATTGCTTTTGCCCCAGCTGGTTGGTGTTTGCCTGTCTTTTGTTTTGGGGTCAGATAAAGCGGAGGAAATAAATCTCTTCTTTTCATTTCTGTTTCAGGCTGTCATGGCCAGTGATTTTGCCATATCTCAATTCAAGCACTTGAAGAAGTTGCTTCTAGTTCATGGGCATTGGTGCTATTCCCGCTTAGGCAAGCTGGTGATATACTTTTTCTATAAAAATGTGGTAAGTTTCAGACATCTTCCGTTGCCTCTGTGTCAGCTGTGGATGCTTTCTTCTCATAGCCACAGATGATGATGACAATGAAGGTTCATATTTGTACTGATTAAGGATCCATTCCAGGCAGCTTACAAGCTCCAAAAATACCATACAGAACATTCCATTTAAAAATCACATTCAGAGCCTGAAATGAATGAATAACCATCCAATAAAAAGGCACAATAAAAACAGATTGGCCCTTAAATTGACTACAGAGACTTGTTCCCATTTTTTCCTCAAAAGCTGAGAAGGAGACACTTCTAAGTCATAATCCCCTATCTTAAATAATAATGATTTAAGGAAAAAATGTTGACAACCATAGGTATCATCCTGGCTGTGTTTCTGCATACAGAATAGTAAATTATAACTACTCGGAATGGGACTTGGCTCTGTATTATGCTGAAAAGCCTGCCAATACACTTAATTTGATGAGAGCCACATGCTAGCAATTAGCAACAACAGTAATCAGCTTTACCAACATAATGAGAAAGCGCGCGCGCACGCACACACACACACACACACACCCCACACCTCCATTTTCAAGTCATGTATTTCCATAAGGGAGGTAACTTGAAACATCACACTTTTTAGAGATTCAAAGCTCAGGTTTGAGAAGGAGTGGAAGAGAAGCAAGTCTTCCATGGGAACTATCAGAGCTGTATCACCTTAATAAACTCCTTTCACGAGTCTTCCCTTCCCATCATTTTCTTTTCAAAAGCCCGCATTCCCCCTCCTCTCATCCACCGTAGATTCCATTTCCCCTTTTGATACTATTTTTCTATGTATTGTTTTTCTGTGCTGTCTTGAAGATACAGTGAAGATTGTGTCTAATGCAGTCCCACCCACCTTATTCAAATGACCTGGTGGTAGGCATTACATGAACTCACCCTTCTCTACTAGATATCCCATTCCTGTGAACAGGAATATGTCGGCTGGAACAGCAATATTTGGGTTGTAGTTTGCCTTCTTTGCCAACAAGATCCATAAGGGTTCTTTCTTTTGCGCTGGGAGCTTTCCACCTGCAGTTTGGTCTCTCACACACTATATATTCTCTCCTTTTTCCATTTTCTCACTTCTGTATTCTATTCAAAAAGGTGTTGAAGATGTTTAAACTGAAGAGCTGTTCCAAGAGCAGAGTTTAAATTTGTGAAAACAACCTTTGAATAGCAAATAAATGGTTCCTGGCCATCAGCACATAAGGCTAACTGCATACAGTGGTACCGGGGGTTAAGAATTAATTTGTTCTGAAGGTCCATTCTTAACCTGAAACTGTTCTTAACCTGAGGTGCCACTTTGGCTAATGGGGCCCCCCGCTGCCACCACGCCGCTGCCTTGTGATTTCTGTTCTCACCCTGAAGCTAAGTTCTTAACCCAAGGTACTATTTCTGAGTTAGCGGAGTCTGTAACCTGAAGCAACTGTAACATGAGGTACCACTGTACAGATGTTTCCCTACTAAGAAAACAACCCAGCCCAAGACCCACTTGCTGGAGGCCGTTAGGTTGGTGCAGGGGGTGCATTGTCCCTGGAGCTTCAGGAGAAAGTGGGTGTCTTAGTGCAAAAGGTTCTCAAACCTTTTACCCACCAGCTGCTTCCCCGTTCTAAATTTCCCCAGCAGCAATTTCTGTCTATGGTAGTCCAAAACCTAGCGCAAACACACTTTTAGAAGTTCATGGTAGGAATAGCAACTTGGGGACGATTTAGAGAGAAGGAAAAGGAGGCAATAATATCATACAGAAATATCAGTCAAGCACCCTTTCCCTCACTTTTTATTTAAATTCCCCACTCCCAATGCTGCATTTCTCTTTTAAAAATAATTTCAGAGCTCAGTTGTAGTTAGCTTCTCAGACTGATCAAAAACCTGATTAAGATCAAATACTTGGATTTTTTGAAGTCATTTGGACTGAATTGCCTTAAATCAAAGTACTTAAGCATTAACTGAGTCACAGCGCAGACTGTAACGTGTTCTAGGAGCTTATCATCTGTACACATGTAAGAAAGTGTGCGTGGAAATATCTTGAATAACACAAACAGCTAATGTATTTTGCCTTTAAACATTTTCCCACCCAGACCTACGTCAATCTGCTGTTCTGGTACCAGTTCTTCTGTGCATTCTCTGGAGCCGCCATGATAGACTACTGGCAAATGATCTTCTTCAACTTGTTTTTCACTTCTGTGCCACCAATACTTTCGGGAGTCCTGGATAAAGATGTTTCCGCAGGAACTCTGCTGAGCTTGCCTGGTCTTTATAAGAGCGGACAAAACTCAGAGGTACACCTTTCTTGCTCAAGGAAGCCTCACAAGTCCCTGTAGTTTTTCACATATCCTTCAACACAGTGGGTGAAAAAGCAGTTTGGGGAGGGCAGTTTTAAGGTGGGGAGGGTTAAGCAGCCTCTCTCTGTGCAGTCTTACTCCGCCTAAACTGTAATGTACAACTTGAACTTTGGCTACAGTCTACAGTCACTTCAGGTGACTTCTCTTGCACTGGGAAAGAAATGCAATGAGATCTAAATATGTGAAGAATAAGAATTTTCAGAAGCATTTTAGAAAACATAATGTTCTCTGGTTTTATAAAGTATCTCAATAGGATTCTGTTTTATTCTGAACCTTTAGGTTGTTTATTATTTTTTCATGTGCATGGTACTATTTGTATTGAAAGTTATTTACCATCCATATCTCATTTATCCTCACAATTGCCCCTTTGTACATAAATTGGGGAATTGTGACTTGCTGAAGGCCATCCCACGCAGTTTATGCCTGAATGGGTGCTTTTACAGCCCAGTGCTGTAAAAGGAAAGCTTTCAGTTATTCTCCTCCGTGATGGCTTCCCCAAGGAGGGGGAAACTGGAGAGTATTGACTCTCTTTTTTCACAGAGGACTCAACTGCCACATTAAATACAAAACAAACAACAACCTCTGACTGAAAATCAAGTGTTTCTCTTTGTGTTATGATTTGCTGCAGGTTTACAAGCCTCTGACGTTCTGGGTTGCCATTTTGGAATCTTTTTATCAGAGCCTTATCTGCTTCTTTGTCCCTTATCTGGTAAGTATTTAAGGCACTCTCTAAGCGGCTCTTAATGAAACAAAAATTGTGTCAGTCAATAAGCCTACAACTATTTCTGTTTTCCAGGCATATCTTGATTCCGATATTGACATTTTCCGCTTTGGAACAACAATCAATACAGTCACTCTCCTTACTATTCTGTTTCACCAAGCTTTAGAAATTCAAACATGGGTATGTAGATAAACCCTTCAGTAACTATTATAGCTTCCTGATTGCCTGCTTTTAGAAATGATTGTCATAACTTATGTACCCTGTGCTAGCTTGTTCTGCATCCCTTTTAAGATTTGGCTAGTCTTCAAAATAATAAACATGCTATTGTGATTAACAAAACAGAGAGCAGGATTCAGCTAAGGAGTCCCATCAGTGGAAGCCCTGTGAAAGGACTTCCACTTGCACAGTGGAGTTGTCCTTGTTTCGGAAGCTGAAATGTTTTGCCACATAATGAAAAATATTCTAGTTTGTTAATCGCATATATATATATATATATATATACGCACATCTATATCTGGCTGCTTCTGCATGAACATTTGCAGTTGTTGCCTTTTCTCCTGTACTGGAATCCTGGTGACCAAACTTGCTGCCATAACGGTTCCTTTCCTCACATCTTGTCCACAGACTCTGTCCCATGGAATTACAATCACTGTGAGCATTCTTCTGTACTTCATTTTCTCAACCATCTACAATGCCACATGTGTCGTCTGCAACCCTCCCACCAATCCCTACTGGATTATGGAGTTTGAGATGTCGCAGGCGAGCTTTTATTTCATATGCATCATTACTCCAGTCATAGCACTTCTTCCAAGGTTTGAACATATGCTTCTTTTTGTACCTGTTGGGTAGAATACCATGTCCTGGTCAGCAACAACCTAGTTCCTGGGTAATGGTGGGAAGGGGCTTTAAGAATGGATTGCAACAGACTTAATGTGGTGTTTCTTGTCTCCCCATCACCTGCTGTGCCTCTGATCAGCTACTTTCTTCTGATTTCTGATGGTCTCTGGAAGAGAGGCTTAAAATCCTTGACAGCCTGTTACCTTCTGTGCTGTCACAACCTCTTTCTGGAGTTCGGGAGGCATCAAGTCTGTGTACCTTGGCTGGAACATAAAGGCTTTGTGGTTGTGCTGTGTAATGGAGTTCTTTGAGAGGCAACCTTTGAGCATTTCAAAGCAGAGGGGAAAACTGCTTTTCTGGTGCTTTCCTCTTCAGCACTCGAATATGGATCTAGTTAACTGTCAGGTCTCAAAACTTTTTCCCAGCTGTCAACAAGGCCTTGGAACAACTACAAATGTACAGTGTTTGCTTCACCACCACTGCTATACAGAGAGAGAAAAGGAGACAGAGAAAGCAAAGCATGTAGAAGCGGAATCTTCTGCTCATTTGATTTGGAAATCTTGTTCTTCATCTATCCTACTTTATTCACTCACTATAAACACATATTGATTTGAGGGCAGATTCAGAAGGAGAACATTAAAGCTTGTTTCCATAGCATTCTGCTCCTTTGGTTTTGGTTTTCTCTTAAAAAAGAAATCGGCTCCTCTGTTGTGAAATAATTATTCAGGCTGGAGTTTCACAAGGGTCCCTGCAGTCTGAAGGTTAAAAAGCTGCCATACATTAACTGTGTGAGCCCTGCCACAGTTGTATGTCAGCGATGCACTCCCAAGTGCCACCTGTATGAGGATGGAATTTAGAGCAAATGGCTGCATTCAGACATACATAATCATAAACATTGGTACATTCTTACTTGAATGAGCTTGAGCAAGCCTTGGACTGCCATACTCCAGCAGACCATGAGGAGATCGGAAGTTTTTAATTAAAAACAACAACAACTAACCACAGTTTGTCATTATGTTTAAATCTGAACAAACAGTGGTTTATGAAATTGACTTACCGGTATTTCAGTAAACTATATATAAATCTATGATTGACTGCAGTTTAGGGTTCACTAAGTCCAGGTCCCCATTTATGTTAGGAAGCTCTCCTTGTCCCTACCATAGGAGCAGGGGTGAAAACATGCTGGTAGCCACAGCAACAGAGGTTTCCTGGTGTGGTGCATGTCATCTTCTCTCTTGGGAGAGGAGCTAGATTCAGGCAGCCCATAGCACTAAACTGCAGTTAACAAAAATTGGAAGTGAAGACTTCTAACCTCCTCTTCACGGCTGCACCAAAGAGGGTAAGGACTGTGTCACTAAAGAACAAGGCTCATTAATGCAATAATGCAGTGTTTCCCAACCACTGTTCCGCGGCACACTAGTGTGCCGCGAGATGTTGTCTGGTGTGCCGCGGGAAAAAATTAAAAAATTGAAAGATTTTGGTTTTTTTTTAAAGTCAAATTTTCAATTGGGGCGCCGTCACTAGATGACCCCTGGGGTTCCCTCCCTCCCTCCCGCTCTGTGCCTCCCTCCTCCTCCTCCTCCTCCTCTGGGGAGGCCCTTCCTGGCTCTCGGCCAAGGCTTGGCGGCTGCCACTCACTCACTCGCTCGCCCACCCGTCCCTCCATCCCTGCACCCGGCCTCTCCCCCTCCGTCCCCGGCGCGGGGGCTGCCGGGATCCGTAGTCCCCTCGCCCTTGGGCTCCGCGCCCGCGCGGGGTGCGCGAACTACGTTTCCCAGCGTGGCCTGGAGGGCCAGGCGTTTTGTTTGAAGTGCTCTTCTCCCGGCCATGGAATGAGCGCAGCGGCGGCGGCCGGGCGGGCAGGGGCTCTTCCGCGCAGACCCCGCGCAGCCTGCCTGCGCCCCCCGGAGATCGGGCGGCAGGATGGAGCCCGGGGATCCCCGCGGAGGCGGAGCGGCGGAGGCTGCCCCCCAGGTAGGGCTGCGTCGGGGGTTTTTTATTTTTGCAATGCTGCATCCGCGCCGGAGGGGACGCATCGGACCGCGGGGAGACCCCTTGGCGGGCGTGCAAGGCAATGCATGCGTGCAGGCGTTGCATGGAGTGCAGTGCAATGCAATGGCAACGCGGCGCCCTGCATGCATGCATGCAACTTCCACCGGCGCTCCGGACTTGGCAGGTGAGGGGGGTCCCCAGTGGGCGGCAGAGAGAGCCGGGAGGGCGAAGGGGAGCCGGGGGGAGCAGCGCTGCTCCCCGAGCCGAGCCCGGAGGGAAACTTCGGCGTCGTTGCGCCGGGTGTTGGAAGCGGAGGCTGGCGGGGGCCCCTCACCTGCAAAACCTGGTCGCCTCTCATATATTTCGTGCATTGCATTCATCGCCCGCTTTCTCCTCCAAGGAGCTCCCGGGGGCGCGCGTGGTTCTCCCCGTGTTATCCTCGGAACAACAGCCCTGCGAGGTGGGTCAGGCGAGTGGCCCAAGGCAGCACCCAGGGATTGTCCTGGCCAGGTGGGGTGATTTGAACCCTGCTCTCTGCCCGGTCTTCGTCCTCATTTAGCCCCCACATGTGCATGACTGTGCATGACTGAGGTTTTCCCCCCTCGTCTTGGCTATGGTGTGAGTCTGTGCTGTTAATTAATGGGGTTCTGCCTTCGGAGAAGATGAGCCAGCCCTCAAGGAGGTGATTATGTAATTTGCTAGCAATTCATGTCCCTCCCGGCGTGACGCTGCGCGCTGACGTCACGGGGCTGTAATGGTGGTGTGCCTCGAGATTTTTTTCATGAAACAAGTGTGCCTTTGCCCAAAAAAGGTTGGGAAACACTGCAATAATGAACCATAGGTTATCACCAGATCCAACTTCAGTCAATGAATGTATACAAAGATCTTACCAGGGACTTTGGCATGATCCATCTTTGCAACCTGTCATGTCCCCATGTAATGAGGAAATGTGATGTTACCACATACCACCCTGATCTTAAGCAGGAACTAGATAGCAACCCCTGACCTGGGAGTCCCTCCTTTTATTTGATTCTCACTACAGCAGACTAGGGGTTGTAAGGGATCAGAACTCTATGATCACTCCCCAAGGGGAAAATAGGAGGAAGAAGATCAGGCATGGTGGGCTTTTTTCACATTCAAATCTCCTATGAAGTAGAGCAGGGAGAGATGAGAACTGAACTCTAGTTCTCAGGAGCTTGGCAGGATGGAGTTATTCTACTCCCTCTGTGTAGAGCTGGACTGTGTCCCACTTTGGCTTTGAACTTTCTGTACCTACCTTAGTTATTCTTACACTAGTGGCTATCAGGCAAACCAAGAAGGGATTGCAATAAGGCTAGAAGCCATGTGAGCAGAGGGTGCTAAATTCTCTCCCATGGGGAGTTTACAATCTAAACAAGCCAAGTCAAGGCAGAATCTGAGAACTTTTTTAGGAATTGATTTTTACACAGATCAGCCAGCCACATGCGTGTAAGCAAATAATGTTACATTCCTAAAAGGATTTAGCTCTGCCCACAGGCCTGGTCAATCTGTGCTGAAAACTAGTTCATAAGGCTGTTAGCACCATACGATGATTTACAAATATGACCCAGAGCTGCAAAACTAATAAGCATTGTCACTTTCTGCTTAGCTTGCTGGTGTTGAACAACGGTGCCAAAACAAGATACAACCTGTACTTTTTCCTGCTGTTCACTACACGGAAATGAAAGGAAAAAGATATTCCCACTCAACTAATTACCTCCACCCAAAAATGGCCCCCTGGAATCAGTCACCAGTTTGTTTATTTCTTTTGACATATTTATAGCCCACTTGTTTCCCGAGATCTCATGGTAGAGAACCACAACACTTCATTTAAAACTGGAATCAATTAATCAAAAATAAAAATAACATCAAATAAGATTTCAGTTACAGCCGACCATAAAGCAACAGAAATGTCTCTAAAAAGCCCAAGCTGGACCTCAATATTTTCTAAAGGCTTGAATGTTTTACATTGGCACTGATTTGGGGGGGAGAGTAGATGTCAGTTGAATTTCAGAGGGGAAGGCGCCCCACAACCTGGGTACTACCACACAGAAGGCCCTTTCTCACATCACCTTACACTGTGTGAGGTGAGACACTGTTGTAAAATTTTAACATCCAAGTGGGATTACATAGGGAGAGGTGCTCCTTCAGATATTTAGGTTCAAAGCATAATCTTATTGGCAGCCAGTGCAGTTCTTTCAGAACCAATGGGATGTGTCTGGCTGTTCTGCTCATTTTGCTGTAGCTGCCATTTTGAGTCATTCAAAGAGTCAACCTACACAGAGCACAATTCAATATTCAGGATGGAAGGTTATCAGAGTATGAGTTTGTGCCCAGGCTGTCTCTGTCCCAACACAGCCACCGCAGGTGGTGAAAGCTGGCCTAAGGTACTTCACACCAATGAGGACACTTGAATCTCCCGTGACAAAGATGGATCTCGGAATATTCCCAGACTATGTACTTGTTCTTTCAAGAGGGATGTAGCCCCATCAAAAGCAGCGGTTTACTGTCACTCTTTGCCCTAAGAAACACTGCTTCCAGGAGGCTTTTGGATGAGGGGGAACTATAACTGCAGTATTTTATGAATAGTTGGGTGTTGCCATTTTTATTGTGCATTGTACTGATATAATTGTTTCTTAAGTGCTTGTGTTGCTTATGTTATTTTTATGTTGCAAACCACCCTGCGGCCTTTTGACAAAGAAAAGAATATCCATTTCTTAATGACTAATTAAATAAATTGTTCCCAAACCGTAGCACTCTGCCTTGTCAGGATTCAGTCTCAATTCCTGGGCCCTCATCCAGCCCATCAAAGCTACCTTAGTGCACACCATTTCTAGCTAGACCACAGAGACCCATAGATAAATGCAGCAGGTGTACTAGTTCCTGAACCTTGCCCAACAGTCCTCTTCCATGCACAGGGCAGCCCCACAGTATCCTTGCCCCCTTCTCTCCTTTGCAACCCCCTCCCTCCAACAAAAGGACTTTCATATCTTCAAACCTGTCTCTAACAACTCTCTATATATATATATTATTTGTCACTCATATAGCCTGCCTTTCCTCCAAAGTCTATAAAGCAGTGTACACGGTTTATCCTCCCCTGAAACCAAGTGAGATGGGTCAGGCTAAAAGAAAGCAACTGGCCTAAAATCACATCATGGCTGATTTGACCCTCCTACAAATTCCAAGCCCTCGGCTGGCCTATCAGTGTTATAAGGTCACTGTAACAAGCAGATTGTCTTCATAAATGATTACCCAAGAGCATTACAGTGGTACCTCAGGTTACATACGCTTCAAGTTACATACGCTTCAGGTTACAGACTCCGCTAACCCAGAAATAGTGCTTCAGGTTAAGAACTTTGCTTCAGGATGAGAGCAGAAATTGTGCTCCGGCGGCGTGGGGGCAGCGAGAGGCCCCATTAGCTAAAGTGGTGTTTCAGGTTAAGAACAGTTTCAGGTTAAGTACGGACCTCCAGAACGAATTAAGTACTTAACTTGAGGTACCACTATATACTACTTCATCAGATATCTACAGAATAGGAGAACCAGGAAGAGTGAAAGCTTGTTTTTATGAGGGTACTACTAAAGTTGTTTGTTTGTTTGTTTGTTTGTTTGTTTGTTTGTTTGTTTGTTTGTTTAGGTATCTTATCTTGGCTCTTCAGGGAACTTTTGAGGTATCGCCCATTGTGAAAGCACAACACTTGGATAAGCTCCCTAAAGAACAACAGGACTGGGAAATAAAGAAATGGAAACTGAGGGAACAAGGCCAAAGTGTCTGCAATGATGAGCCTGAAGGACCTATTGCAAACATGGGTGTGTCCTCACCTGACATTGCAGCAGAGCGCACGTTTCAAGGTCTCTGTCCTCCAGAACAAGAAGCCCTCAGGAACCAGGCATCGAACAGAGGAGACAATGACTACACCAAATGGTGGGGTGGGGAAGAGGATGTGGCTGCCGGTTTCCTGTCAGCAGATGCATCTCCTGGGCAAAGTATACCAGCAAAGCCCTTTTCTGGCCTCCTGACCAATGGCGCTGAAAATTCCAGTCAAAGGAGCCACCGGCGGTCTGTGAGTGCAGTGACTCTATGAAAGAGCTTGAGTTTTTGATTAAAAGAAATTGAAATTGCTTCTCTGCACAACCTCCACCTCCCACATAGTGAGCAAAGGTAGCAGAGGGAAGATAGAATTTCTATTTATATTAAATGGCAATGCCTTGTGGAAAGAGAGACCTAAAGTATAATTTCACCAGCCTGGCGGAACAGTGTGTTTTATCTTCACAATGTGCTGTTCCTCCGGTATGTGCAAGTGAACTTACTGTGAGGAAGAGAAGTTCCAAACAACTTGGAGAAATATTATGCAAGAATCCCTTCGTCAATGTGAAATGCACTATTTCCTTGGAAACGGACAGTATAACCTGAGTAGAACTATTTTGCTTTATCCAATAATGAGCCCCTTCTGTCTTCTGAATCTGACCCTAAACGTGTCACTCTGAGCCTCCTGCTGATTGGCAGCTACATGGCTGCAATACAGTTTTGATCCATTTCGCCACTACTATAATTGTTTCCTAGGAATTTCTCCAGATTACAGCACTTTATGGTGAAACAATCAGTTTTAAAGACCAGAATGAAATAAGTCAACAGTGCTGAATTCATCAACCTGGGCATTTTGCAATTCAACATTCAAAACCATGTGTAAAAGTATTTTATAAAATGTTTTTATAAGTGTGTGTGTGTGTGTGTAGTGCATTACTAATTGAACAGATATATGTTTGGTTATTTGTGTAACCAACCCCCTAATCCCTAGCACACTTACTTTGATGTAAGGTCAATTGGTTTCAAATGAATTATTTCCCAAAAGAGACCACATCAGACCACATGAGGGTTGGCACTAGGAATGAGTGTGTTTATTCCACTCCTCTTCAATTGCAGTTTTCAGTATCTTCCAAATATGGACACACCACATTTCTTGTCTTCAGATGTTGTAGGGAGGAGAGAGGATCCAATGAGGATATGTGTGCTAGCTCCACCCCCTTCTGCAGCCATTTTTCTCATCTTCCAACTTGAGAAAAGTACCGTACTTTTCTGTCTATAAGACGCCTAGATGTATAAGATACCCCCTATTTTGGGGGACTCAGATTTAAGAAAATGTAGGGAGATGGCCCAGAGTTCTTGAGCTTTTTGGGGAGAGGATTACCCAGGGTTATTGAGCTTTTTTTAGGGGGGATTGCCTAAAATTGCTCACCCACATGCATCGCTAAATCCACCTCCCATCTGTCCCATCGCCGGCAGAAGCTACCACTCGCCCGCCCAACTGCTGGAGCGTCAGCCAATCAACACCATCCATTGATGCAGCAACCAATAACACGCACAATAGCCACTGACAACCTCGGCAGCAACCAATCAAACATCCACCCTATGCACTGCCCATGTATAAGACAACTCCCACTTTTTGGCATGATTTTTAAAGAAAAGAACATAGTCTTATACACGGAAAAGTACAATAGCTACCTGCATCAGGGAGCCTTTTGTGTCTGTGTGGGCTCCCCATGCGTTTTAGAACCCTGGGAAATACAAGTTCTATAATGTGTGGGCAGCCTCTACAGATACAAAAAGCTCCCTGCTACAGACAGGTCACCTTCCATGCCTTGGAAGGTGACAAAAATGGCAAAAGAAGGATTGGCGTTAGCATGCTTACCCTCCCATATTGATTGTCGCCACTTTGGAATGCCTGAAGGAGAGCTAAGGCATTCTAAGGAATGCCAACAAAACACTGCAACCTCCCCAGAAACTGACTGACATTATTGGGATAATGATTTCTAAAGCACTGCTTGCTCTTAAAAAGCTATGGAAATGTATTGTTTTCAACAGAGGCATCATCGGCGTCCAACTTGCCTGCATTCCTTTAGCATCTCCCTAATTCAGAAACCCAATTCATTCAATTAAGAGGCACAAAATAAACCCGTTGGCTTTATTTATTTACAAAGAGAAGATGCAAAAGTAAAATGGAGCCACAGCCTTTAAGTGCCCCCCTTTGTCACTGGTGTAAGATCTGTTTAGTTCAGGCACCGGCTATTCCATAACTGGGCCACCCAATGAAATTGCTGCTCACCTTTTGCCTAGATTTTCTCAAAGCATAATGCCTTTAAAATTAACAGCACATCGCACCACAGAGAGTTGAAAACCTGCAGGTTTGGTAAGCCGGAAAACATGAAGGCAACATCTCCTGAAAGAAGAGATGAGCTCAACAGGTCATTAACTCTCAGGACCAGAAGCAGTAGCTGTCCTAAGTTAAATAAGAAGACAAAGAACCACCCAGTGTCTTTGGAGGGGGATTTGAGATAAAGTTGGCCAAATATTAACATGGGAGCATATTACATACGGTAAATGAATGCATGTGTCACCTATTGTTGGACAGTTGTGCTACCTGATCTCCTGCATAGTTTGTATTTATTGGGTTATAGCACCAGCTCACACCACACAGTTTCGAGCTATGAAGATAGCACGTAAAACACAATGTGACTAGATGCTTGCAAGCATGATAATGGTAACAGGTTTAAGTGGAACAGCAACAGCTTGCTTCAGAAAGTGTGGCAGGCAAGAACACCAAAAATGCTGACCATTTGAGGTTACTTTCATACTGCTTAGGAATGGAATTCACTGCCTTTGTCAGCTTCTCAGCATCTCAAGTGTTACCTTAGAGTTCCTCAAGTAATGCTTGCTTTTACTTGAGGAGGGAGGGATACAGGAAAATTCAGTTTGGTTCCTGTGTTGATTCAAACCAGCTAACTGGCAGGTCCCAAAACTGCGGATGATCTGAAATATAGGTGTGCTTTGCAATTCATGCTTCTCCAAATTTTGTGATGGACTTCTGCAAAAAATATAAAAAAACCTAAATGTGCACAAATTTTGCGTATTAGTGGAAGTGTGTACAGAAATGCATATATTTTTAAGAATGAATAATTTGTGAAAAGAGCAAACCAAAATGCATTATAATGAGGAAAACTGCTTACATAGATATGCATAAATGTTAAAATCCAATTCATAAATACATATTAGGAGAAAATGACATAAAATGCTAATTTTTCATGGTTTTTTAATTTAAAAATCTGCTTCCCTTGGAGCAGAATTTGAGGGTGCATTGGGGGCCAGTGTGTCCTAATCTGACACTCTAGTCCAGGGGTCAGGAACCTCGGGTCAGAGGGGGTCAGATATGACCCTTCTTCTTTCTCTTTGTGTTCCCTGAGCCCCTGTAGCCTTGACACCACACTGGCTTCTGCATAAATTATAGCATTTGCTTTGAATCTGCAGCTTTAGGAAGTCTTTTTTTAAAAAAAAAAAAAACCACCACTAAGCATGTACAATACAGTCGTGAAAATACCCAGAAACTTGGCTATCAAGCATAAATATGTAATGCTGGCGCTGAGCAATGCATACATATTTAATGCTAGCACTGGGCAATTTAGCTATTTTCTGTCCTGTATGGTCCTGAAAGCGAGAATAAAAGTTGGTGATTTCTTAACAGTTGAAACATGTTTTTCAAGCTGTGATAACATGAATACGGGCATGAAATTTTTGGCTACTAATTTTTCACTTTTGTTAACAGGCTCAAAAGCAGAGATGTGAAATAAAGTCGTAAACAGTAGCATACATTGAGGCTTCGATCCTAGACAGGCATACCTGAGAATAAGTCACATTGGATTCAGTTGGACTAACTTTTGAGTAGACATATCTAAGACTCCAATGCCATTGTCAGTTTTCCAAGTCTAGCTACCTTTTGTAGTACTTAAGCAGAAAACAAACATCCCACATGAAAAAGAAGCTTAGATGTTGGAGAGTTAAAATGTGCAGTTATGAGCGAGCAAAGTTTGGGCTTTGCCTAGCTTACAGTATGCTCCATCTTTTCACTTTCAAGTATGCAGCTTTCCCTAAAACTTAAAAGACTCCAGAATGATGGGGCTCAGCATTTTCCACAATGAAACGGGAGTGGGGAGTGCTTGCTTTTGTAGGAGCATTCCCTGCTGTGCTGAATGAGCTCAAAGAAAAATGTTCTGTGCTGCCAGTAAGGGATATGGACCTGGCGTTTAGGGACATCGAGCAACTATCCACCTGTTTCCAGTCCATGTCTCCATCACATCCATTCTTCCATGTATCTAACAAAGGCAAAAAGCCCTGGTAATTCTGTTAGCAGTCATGCTAATTAATGAATCAACCTAATGACAACAGGAAAGGGTCCAAGTAGCACTTTTGTGCTTCTAAAGGACCCTGTTTATTTAAAATAGAGCAATCAGGTCTGTGGTTGTAAAGGCTAGCAAGTCATCTTTGTTTAAACCTTTGCCACCAGTTCTTTTAAAGCAAGGGGGGAGTGTATAATAGCAGACAATACTAAAATATTCGCTGTCAGACATTTTCCACCCCTAGACCAAGTCCTGGACATTCAATCCACTTCTTGGGAAATGGACTCCTCACAAAGTTATACTCAGAGTTAAAAAGATTTGAGGAAGAAAGAGCACTGGTCTCATTTAAGGCACTTCACAAATGTATGGGAAAGATAATCTCCATTTTGGCCTGATGTCACATGTGGCACAGTGGTGAATTGTTGGACAGCATGCAGAAAACAGTGCCCAGGAACCACAATTCCCCAAGACTACCTGGTCCAAATGTACCTTTTGTTTTCAGATAGTATAAGGTGGGCAGATGGGTACAAAAGTCCTAAAACTACTCCATGCTAATCTGAAGCCTGCAGTTCTATATGCATTTACATGGAGGAAAGCCACAGTGAACCCAATCGACTTACTTCTGAGTAAACAATAGCAGTGTGCTGCACATTACTCCTCTCTTGACTTGCAGGAGATCCTGAAGGCAACATAAGTCATCTTGGGGGGGGGCAGAGGGGGTGAAGAGAACTGCACTGTGAAATTCAGAGAAGTGTGGATTTCAAAGGATAGCTGTGTTTTGGTTCTTGTATCATTTTGGTAAGTGGGAATTCTGTAGGTTTGCCTTTAAATGTCATCTGAATTGAATTTCTCCCCCATTCCTAGGGGGAGGGGTGAAAAAGAGGTCACTCCTGCACCTTTAACAGTTGGGCATAACATATAATTACAGCAGGCGTAGCTAGTCACATAAGCCACATCTGATGAAATCCCCTCTTCTACAGATATAGTGGTGTGACATTTGGTAGTTAGCCGTGACTCCCGCTAATTGATTTACGAACCTCGATTAGCGATATATGGCCGCCCGGCACACTTCCGCAGCGCCTCTCCGTCACGGCTCAGCAGAGTTTCCGCACAGCGGTGTAGAACTGTCACGTTGCTTGGTTCAGCTTCCAGACAAACACACATAGACAGGTTCGTCTATTTACAGCTTTTATTCCAACATTTCTCAGGAATTACCAGGACTATTTGCAGCCATGCCAGACCTGCGTCTTTTCCCCACGGAACACAGAGTGGGACTGAACAAACAGGGAATAGTCCCGCCCAGCTTCTAAAGCTTCTGTCTCCGCCCAGCTGTAAGCTGACGTCAGCAGGTGACACACACCAGGGAATTTAACCAGATAAATTCTGAACTATAACACCCCCCCTTGTGTCCCTGCGTGAAACCTGTGCAACATCTTCAGTAATACCTTGTGAGATCAATTCCTTCCCCAATGCCTTGCGCCTTCCCTTGGCAAACCTGTTTGGCATTTGTGGAACCACCTCACAACTCTCAGAATCGCACTGTGCGAAACTTACC